AATATTTTTGTGAAAACAAACCATTACAGTAGCACATTTTAAGCGAATCCAATTATCCCGAAATTTACTTGATAATTCTGGAACATAGACAAATATAGAGTTGAACTGATACTAATTACGTCGGATTTGCCTTCATCATTTACAACATTAAAAATAAATTTTGTCTCTGCCCTTTGGAACATGGTATCTAACATGGTAGCTGAACCGAAATTATTTTGCAGTACTGACCTCTCTGACGAAAAGGGCAAAAAATGGCGCCCAGCAAACAGCAAAAACCACTACCACAGTCATCATCATCTTAATGATTTTTACTTTATTCTTAGACACTGCACTTGTTCCACCTTCTTTGGTAAGGGCATGTGACGTCTTCCAAATGTACCTCACAATCAGGATATAGTTGACAGATATAATGATAAGTGGAATTAGGTATCCAATAACAAATATACAAATGGAGTAAACTTCTTCAAACATGTCTGGAATGCCATGTGAACCGCAAGATGTTTCAAAATGGTAATCAGTAAAATTTTCTGGTAGTATAATTTCTTCTGACGACCCACCACCAATTATAAGTGGTTTATTTTCAGGTATTTCTTCATTGGCTGCTCCTCCCGCGTCAGACTCAGTTAGATTGTCCCACATGGTGTTATTCATTGTTTCATCAGAACTAGATTGGGACACGTGCTCTAACGGATTGTTCAAGACAATTTTTTCATACGTTGAATATTCGTACATCTGAGGTGCGGAAACTGCAAGGGATGTAATCCAGATTATTACAATTGCTATTTTAGCTTGTCTCATCGTCATGCTGTTGTTATTCAATCCTCCCAAAATGACAACACGTCTTTCATGAGCAATAACGATCATGGTGTAGATGGAACTGGCAATACAACAAAGTGGCGATGACATCACAATTTTACAGCCAGCATTTCCTAGATATAAATACATTCACAGTTTTTAGAAGCGTATATAAACGTGCGGTTTTTGTCAGCAGTATATGGCCATATCAAATATATAGCTTAAAGCGGGGGTGTCGTCACCTGCGCATGCGGAAAATGGCCATAGCGCGTCATCATGGGGCGTTTTCAGCGTGCGTTGTTATTGTTGCTAGGAACTCACGCGGAGGTTACAACCCCACCGCTTAAAGACATTCTCAATAATTTATTAAACATGTAATAATAGGTCGTCGCTTTTGTTTACTTGACTGTCTGTCAAAAATCCGGTCGTTCACACTCGAAATAAAATAACGGCGTTCTTCGCTTCTGTTATTTCATATTTAAATAGTCATGTATGTATTCCTTTTAACAAAACAACTTATGGACAATGTCATCGCAGCAGATCGCTGCCTGCGTTGATCAGATTTGTTATCACACTCTCCCAGGCAGGTTGACGAAAATGTAAATACATGACGTCACAGGCGGGATATGAGCACTCACAATGTTATCAATGGATTAAATTTGAAAACGAGAAGAAATAATAAATTTTGGATTTGGGGTTATGACGACAAAATGTCATAGAATAAATGTCTGAATACTTTGATGGTCTTTGATGTTAGCTTGTTCATAATTAAAAAAATAGTATGTGTACCCCAGTTTGTTTTCGTAATTTCAAATTCATCCCAATATCTCAACATAATAGTAGATAAATAACATGACTAATAAAATTACCGACAACTACCATGTTCCCCACAGGTCGATAACGGCACCCAAAGAAACTGATACTCACCAAGAGTCCACTGTTGATTGTTAACCATTGAGATTAATTTGAGTGGCATACTCAGTCCTGAGTAAAGTATGTCACACACGGCTAAGTTGACAATAAAAAGTGACGTCACATTCCGCATTTTTGGTGTGAACGCAATAATGTAGCAAACCAAAATATTGCCGATAAATCCCAAGAAAGCGATGACTGACAACAGAACAATGACACCAATAGACACCTCTTCATTTGCAGACATATTAACGACCTGTGAATAAATAAGATAAGATTCGAACTAATTATACAGTGGAAAAGTGTAAAGCTGTGTTGTACACAAAATAAAGGGTTGTGCTTGATACGGGTCCCATGCAACGTGTGTAACGCACGGAAATTACATTTTTTTTATATTTACATGAGATGCAAAGGCTTCATGACAACTACGACGTTGTAAATAGATATAATACAAGTATTTGCAAGACTGCATAAAAATGGTGTCAGCTACCGTGAACACAAATTCACCATGTCACATTTATGAAAATAGTATGGAGAATATGAACTTATGGATGGTCAAAGAAGACCTGCTATGTTGGCTATTTCCGAGTACATATTATATACAGAGTAGATAAGAAAAGCCAAAAAAGAAAATGAGAATTTTATCGCTAAATATAAAGTTACGTCCGACTCGATTCGTCTGTGTGAAATCAACTATATATTTTAACCCCAGGGTGAATTTATCAGTGATCTTGAAATATAACACTGCAACAAATGCTTCTCATTTTTAAGTTAAAATTTTTAAGCACACGAACACATTTTTGATCTCAGAAATATTCATAAACGGAAGTTGGTGGGCGTGAATATCAGACTAGTGAGACGTACATAATGTAGTAAAGTATATGACAGAGGAAAAAACGAAATGAACATATTCCAGACATATTCTAGACGATGATACCTTATAAGCAAACAGTAGGTAATATACAGATATATCATATTCGCAAATGGCTGCAGCGATTTTGTGGAGGGCGAGAGAGGTAGGCAACTTGTTGTACCCTACATCATGGCGTCCACTGCACTGTTCCCCTAACCATGGAAACCATTTATAGCGACAGTATGACGAATATGCTCGAGAACATTATTGCTTGATTTTTATATTGTCCTTACGTACACAATGTACGGATGGGAATAATTCGATAATTATGAATATAATAATACATGTACGATTAACTATACACAAATAAATGATATAGTAATTAACGCTAGCAGGATATAAATATAAAAAAATATGAATAATTGCCTGATATTCAAATGCCAAGAAAATCATATTTATAATTTTCAAGAAAGTTATCAAGACACTTGAAAACAAATTACGCCCGATGAGTATTTCGTTTTGACAATTAATATCATACTCTGAAACTAATCTACGTGTTACGGCGACAAAATAAATTAAGTAAATTATAAAGAACTCAAAGTTGGTGATGGATTGGATTTGTAAATGGCATATATGCTCATCATTGCTCACAACTTGCTGAATTGATGGAAATGTTCTCCCAAGCTGTTATTGAAATAATATATTTATTAAGTTAGAATGCTACTCGCGAGTTGTTTTTTTTACATGTGCGCATATTTTAGCGCATGTGGCAGTAGCAATATTTTGTGTCAAAATCTGTCAATTAATTTTAGTTTAGTTTAGTTCAGTTTAGTTTATTCGAGTACGGCAAACCACTGGCCCAAAATGTAATTGTACTTGTACCAACTAAAAATATTGTAAATTTGTATTACTTCTACACATAACAAAATACCGTGTAATAAACTATATATCTTATTATCACCATGATATGTCACTTGGGAAATTTTTGAGATATTAAGATATATCTGTTCCATGGTCAAATATTAAAATGCCCTAAAACAGACAAAACACACTATGTGAAAATTAAGAAAGCAGCATTCTACCTTAAGTGGTGGCTTACAAATCAAAACAACGCGAATGAATATTTTTACTATTATATTCCACGAAACACATTACATGAACTACGAAAACGCTTCTTTTTTCGTGAGTTCCAAAGAAGAATTGTCACTCACCTCTCAAGTGGATCATCGACGTGACGACACCGTGTTTCAAAAGTACTGCGTATAATCCTCAGTCAATGTCATGCCAACGCGGTCACTGCTGACAGGGAGTATGATGATGAGAAAACCTAGTTCATAAAAAGGCCGTGTTAGTTTCAACGACATCTACTCAACGAGGGAAGTTACGCTGTCGCGGCATGGTCCATTATGTTTAGTTGAATGTACACATGCAAATATGCCCCGAGAAAAACATGATTTGCATAATCCCCAAACCATATCAATAGTTTGTGCCTGCTATAGAATTTGTATCTTAAAGTTTTAAATTATATATTCTCGAATAACAGCCGAAAACGAAATTCTGCATAAATGTGTAATCATTGAAAGGTCGATTGCTTTTTGTATTTGCTTTTGGGTCTACGTATTTCTAGTAATGGGCGCACAGTACATTGGTTGTCAGCCAATATGTATATGTTGCTTTTCAAGCAATAATTTCGAAACATCGATTTAGAAATTTAGACCAAATAACCAATTGTCATACGCATTGAATAGATCACCGCGGGGCGTGAACGAGATCAAACCAGTAAGACCTGCTTAATGTAGTATTGTCTGGGGCAGATGCAAGGTGAAATGAATATATTGCAGACACGAAATTTTAATATTGCTTTATAATAAAACATCTGGCGGCACCATAACGCAGGGAGATAACAGATAATAGTCAGATTGTGTTTGCTGGAAAAACAAGGCACGTGAACATTCTCGACGAGATTTAGGCAGCCATTTGCGATTAAGATCTATTTAAACAGCATAGTTTATTTGGAAAATCGATATGTATTTAGCTTGATTCTTGATTTAGCTGATATATACTGACATAACAACAACACACTAAACTATTTCGGATTCTGTTTGTAATTGTTTTCAGACTCGTGTTAAAAAATTTAATCGCAACATGTTTGTGTATAGTATCGCGATTGCACACTGCGATCAGGTAGATTTGTTATTTCGCTTATCAAATAGAAATCGGAGCGGTAACCTGTCAGTGTGCACATCACTAGCACAACTACTATATAGGCATGTAATGCGAACATATAAAAGATCACACAATTATATATGGTCATTAACCCAAGACACAAAAGTACATCAATATATGTTTTTCATATTAATGACATAATAGTGTATACTGATAACTAAACCATAAAGTGTTTACTGAAATGTGAAATATCCAAAATATGTTTTTATAATGATTGTAGTAATATATTGACTTTTACAAAACGTAATCATTTGTGAACTGCATACTAGTATATCTGGGTTTGCATTTGCCATGGCAACATCTTCTATTGACTATTGCGTCATTGTGCATCAATTGTTGAATGCAATTGTAACAGTAATGTACCTAGCCATGTTTCATTTACTTTAAATGCCTGCTACAGTTTCATGGTAGAATATAAAAACTCGAATGTATACATCGGGCAAGAATATGATTTCTCGTAAAAAGATCGGCATTCGTATTGTGTTCAATTACACATCGTGTCCACCCCTTGGCGGTATATTAAATTCAAATATTAAATACATTTATTAGTCGAAGAAAAAAATACATTCCATCATGCCATTCTTGATGTTTGCATTTAGCTTTTATAGCCACCGAATGTAATCCCGTTGCTGGATTATCGTATTACGTTATAGGTTACGTCAAATGACTAAGATTAAAATTAGTAATTCCACATTTTAGCACATATTATATAAATGTAAATAATTGTCGTCAATACATTTAAACCTCACTGCCAAATCGAATATGAATATGTTATTTAGTTCAGTACTTACAGTTAGAAATGTCGGCTATCTGCGTTCTCGTCACGATCAACGTACTACAACCAGTGAATGATTATACGCATATGTTGGACTGAGTGAAATACTCCCATCAAAGTGCTGAACATTTGTCTCGGATAACACGTCACAATGACATCCAACCAATCATGTTCCTCTTTGAAAACGCCGGCCTGTAGACTGTTACATTTACAATGAACAAATAGTGTGTTTTTCTTCAACACGAACAATAAATGAAAGAAATTCGAATTGTGTAGCATCCAAAAAACAAGAAGACACCTGACTGATTAATTATGCATATGGGTTGGACACATAAATGAATCCTAAGTATAATGATCACACGGCTATATATGGTTATTGAACTAAAACGTGTCACCCAATTTTGTTTTCATATTAAAGACACGGTACCATGCATATTCAATTTGATAATTTGATTGTTCGACAACTACTAAAAGTTGAAGGGCGAGAATTGTCACGTCACGGCGCACTTGATATGGAACCTCATGTGACATACAATTTTAAATAAATTATATACAGGATTGCAGTTGCCATGGCAATTTATTTCATTGACCATCGCGGTTGTTGATATCAACCTATACAATGATGTACCTAATAAGGTTTCATTTAGTCTAATTGATTCCTGATATAGTTCTACTCTTAGTGCTCTATGTACAGTAATTCCAGATATTATTACTAAGTATCATGCATAGACTTGTTGTACATCTATAACTAGCGGTACCTATATCGTGTTAATCTTTTGTCCTTTGTGTCAATTCATTCTCTTATTGTAATATGTTCAAATCAAATTTGAAACAAAGTCACATTCTGATGTAAATATACTTTTAGGAAATTCCATCATACTATTTTTGTGTTTGTTCGTCAATAATGACTCAATCCGCGGATAACAGATATAATATGATGGTGCTTATCAGATTACAGAAATACAGAAAAATATTGGACTCCAGAGGTAACGCTATTTGCATTTACTAGGTTTAAAACATCGACCATTAGTTGTTGATTGAATGAATACATTGCATCACATGCACGTAGGACTAAATGCTCCAATTGCCTGGAGGGATGTTTTACATATACATTATCGAAACATTACCATAGCAATTTAGAAAATCTGGCAATAGGAACGTCGTGACGCGGAAGGACAAAATATTAGTCAATATGTGTGGGTTACAAACGATCGTCAGTAAAACATTAAATTGAAGCCCACTGTAGAAACGCCTTGATGTGACGACCTCTCCGACTACAGAATCGTTGAATCGGGTGCTATGCGTGCATTCAATCTTAGAGATGTATGTCATGCGTATGTGAAACGAGTCAGGCATCAAATCATTACCACTTATATGGCATACACTGTAACTGAGTAAAGGA